GTCAGTATATCGTGGGCAATAGCCTGCGATTTACTGAGCTTTGGGTCACGGAAGGAAGATAGTATATGTCCTCCCGTGACCCTAAAGAGAACACTTACCCCATAGCTTTTTTTTAATTTCGGACATAAGATAAACTGAAAGAAAGGGGTGCGGAAAAGCTAGAGGAAGTTGGTAATAAATCTGTGAAAAAAAACTGTTGCAATTGACTGACCAGTATTGACCTGGGGGTCACAAAAACACAGAACTATTGCATATTATTTGCTAAAGAGAAGCAGCCCAATTTCCACTAGAGAGGTGCCTGATTCTGTTGTTCACTTGCATGATTAACCTCCCCACAGTTGTCTTTTTCTTTCAAATTTGCATCTAATGGATGGTTCTTGAAGAATCATCAACACACCATGTTTTCTAAGTAAATGTTTGAAACAAAAGAAAAGAATTTCAACCTGTTTCTCAGAAAGCAATTATTGAACTTTGCTCCAGACATATTTTGGTTCAACCAAAAAAAAAAATCTGTCATAACTATCCATCACAAATATTTCACCCTTTTTAAAGTTCACTGTTTAAAAAAAAAAATCTTTATGGATCGAGCATAGATGCCAGCCTCTTCTCCCTAAGGAGAGCAATAATGAAACAGTAAGCAGTGCAAATGGTACCTAATGAGTTTAAGCTGATTTATGCTTGCTTTTCAAAAAGTGCTGTTTGATGTCTAGAAAGTGCTACTGCTGTGAAGTAATGTGGACCATCCATGCTACCCCCGCCAACCTAATGGGTCTTGGGTGGAAGATTTATAGCAATCGGCCTGGGAGCGACAAACGTAATGGAGGCCATTTGCTTTTATTATAAGCAATGCATATTTAAATTAATCTGCTATTTACCTAAACAATTAGCCGCCTCCTAGTGTGAGCACAAAGCCAAAGACGCAATTAGTCCTGCATCTAAAGATGAGACCCAAGTATAAAGTGTCCCTGAGGAGGTTTGACGCTTTCAGCAGAACTGGTCCTGGATAACTTCTCTGCAAAATGGTAATTGCATTAATTGCTTAAAAGGTAAATAATTGTCTAACTGGTTTCAGAGAAGATCAGGCTCCTATTTAAACCTCTCCATTAATTAAGATGGCTTGTAATGGGATTTTCACACTTTTAATGTTTTAAAGTCATTTTGCTGTCTTTTAAATGTTCGCCTCTAAAATGATTTATTCTACTTAATATGACAGTGACTCATTAAGAAGAAGGGGTAGCAGCAAGCTGCTTGGTAGACTATTGGAGGTTGGGATGTGGAAAAGGTTTGAGGTTCTTCTTTATGTTAAGCTGATAGAATAGTACCATAGTCCAGCAGTTGAAACTGGCTTAAAGACTACAGATGGTGTTTATATTACAACCTCTGGTTTTTCATGCACCTGACATACACTTTAACATGTATTGCATGGTACATAGGATGCAAAAATAGCATCCAGCATATAATTTTACTTTGCTACATTGCAGAATAGTGAACCGAAGATTTGTAAACCGTTTAAAATACTTTCTTAGATTTTGGGATCCTTAGGTGTTATTTGCTGCACATTGTGTGCTTAAATCGGGTCTGAAAAACTTACAAAAAGAGATTGTAAATGGCCACCCTGTACAATTTTATGTAAAACCACAATTTTATTGCACAATCATATAGTTATCAATTAAACATTCAACGACAAAAAATACTTATAAAAACACCATTGTGCAGCATCTAATAGTCACTTAACAAGTAGTTATACAAATGTCTCAGTAAATAGAATCCACATGAACTCTATATTTGATATACCATATACTTCTACAGTTGACCTCCGTATCCCACAGAGAAAGGCCTTCACTAATTCAAGTCTCTCTCTATTTTAGATATCCAGAAATAGGATGGTTGAGTTGAGTATTACAGCTTAAAATGGATCTTTATCCCCTTTCACTAAATATCACCTCAGCATGCAGCTCTGCATGCCGATGTGAAATCATCTTACATTTATTAGTTAAACATATTTTTCTTTTACTTACAATTTTTGTTTTTCCACTTCCTGGTCCTCTTGGGTATTGGTGCTATAATGTGCCTAAGCGTTGCTTCCTGAAAAAGTTACATCAGCAGTGCATTGCTGGGCAATTATATTTGTAATCATGAGATCTCAGGGAAAGGCATCTCCAGAGATGGTGTCCTAGTCACATGTGCCAAAGTCCCAGGCAGTAAAGAGAAATAGATTAATCTGCCCTTAGTAAAAATGGCCACTGTGAGAAGAATGGGCAGAAAAAGAGAAATAAGGTATGCAAGGAATATAAAGCCGCAAATTATCAAGAAGCATCTGTTTGTAGATTGCCATTACTAAACATTTCTAAAGGTGTATTTGTTGTCATTTCAAAGATAAGGGTAATGTTCCTCTTTAAGAGGATCAAGCAACAGCATTGTATCATAAGATCAGTTCATGTATATCCTTCATCCCATTGCACTATTTTTATGGGCATTCCTAAGTGCCAATTAGACACACCAACCAGTCAAACATTTGACGTCTGAGCATGCATTTATGTGCACTGATATAACATGGTAGAGTGAATAAATATGCATCACAGTTCCAACATTAATGTGCGCTGATATAACATAACTGGATGAGCTATATATATATATATATGTGTGTGTATATGTGTGTGTATATATATATATATATATTTCCTATCATAAGTCAGCCAGACAATTTAAATCTAAATTCACTGACAGGACACAGCAGGCATATCCATATAGAATTATAGTCCGAATACATCCAATACCGTAAATCAGGGGTCCCCCGACTCTTGAATGACTCAAACCCTGCACCTCAATATCAGGACTAAGGACTGACATGCAGCTCTACAAATACTTCAAAAGATTGGACCTTCCATCATTTATCGACCACTTATTGACCCCCAGACATTTACTGACCCCTTTTAGACCAAACCATTTGATAACCCCTTTGATAATTCCATCAACCGTTGGGGGTTGATAATGACCACCTTGGGGCATCCTGGATTTAAATAACTGCTACCACTAAGCAGAGGTCATCTAATATCTATGGGACAATTGTCAGAATGCCAAGAACTTGCTGAACAGAATACTAATAACTTTTTTTAAATACTTGGATCATTGTTTCCTTTTGGAATACATCTAAAACAACCTGTCAAACAATTAATATGCTTTTGTTTACATCACATATTCCAAGATTCTTAAAATTGCCTATAGGTTTTAAACCGTTACCATATAGCATTTGCAGTTTTACCTGGCTTGACTGACATGCTGTTTGCAGAGGTTTATTTTTCAGACTACAAAATGTCTGCATGTAGGCTAGAGGTGTTCTAAGATCCTAAAAGACCGGATGCAGCAGTCAAAATACAGCACCATGAAGCCTAGCAATGCAAACTCTGAATTGGACCAAAATGTGAATATTTTTAAGGGTGCAGTATCCCTCAGCACCAATAGTTTAATGTACTCCAGCATTAAAACATTCACCGGCCGCATTATAATCTTTACTGTCTATCAGCGTCATATTGGTATTATAAGATCCCTCAACCACATTATAAAGCCCTTCCTGCCTTCACCCAAGCCAGCATTTTAATAAATGCATCTACTTTCTGATACTCTTCAGGTCATGCGTTCCTTTAACCTCCATTTATAAGTAAGCAAATTATCCAAATTGCCATCATGCAAGCTGGATGTGGAATGCCTATTAAGGCAGCACATCGCACTGTGCATGCATTATCCATAAATTATTGCCGAGACTACAAAGGAGACGCAGTTCACACTGTGTCATACATATGACTTGCAAGAAAACAGATCTAACTCCTAGCCAACCTTTTTTTATATAATAAAATATAACTTTTTTTTTTCTTTATCAACAATTAGCATTATATAACTCTTCTGTGTATTGTAAATTTACAAATCGTAGTGTGACAATAAAAATCACTTAATTAAGTGCCTTTTAAAATCTACTACAATACATATAAAATGCTCTTTATTACCATGTCAACAGTATAGTTTTTGAAAAATGGAACATACTAAATCTATCCATGCAATCCACATGAATGTAAATCTGCACATATAAACTATATAAAAATATGTGGGCGCCCTATTAATTAGCGATGCTGCTATATTAAAGCCATAACTAAAATTTAATTTATTGCAGCCTACCAGTCTTTAGATGCAGTGGCTGCATTCATTTTCACTTTTCTAAGGCTAAGAACATTTTCAGCAAGTACAGAAAATATCTGTTGATCTTGTTGTCACTTCCTGAGAGCTTAAAAGTAAGCACAAAGACCCTTTTTTTTTTATTGTGTAAACTACTGGTCCCATCAATGCACCATTTAATGGAGATGAACAAAGGCCAGTGTGTGTGACAACCACTCCTAACCCCTGTGGATACAGTGGAGAAATGAGTGACGATGTGCATGATTACCTGGTGAAAATAAAGGGAAACAATGTGAAAACAAAAGCGAATGCAGCCACCTCATCTAAAGACTGGTTAACTGCAAAACATTATTTTTTTATTTTTAGAAAAAATTATATAGTTCTAACACGCATGCTGTTTTCTCATCCACTGTTTAGAGGAGCCATATGTAGATCCAGACACCTCACTATGACTCCCCACAAGAAAACTGAAGCATAGAATCATGCTTTGTATACTTGCTCTTCAGCAGAAATCAATTAAGCACCTAATAGATCCACCAGGGCACTCATCCACTATATTGCAGAAACACCTGAGAGAAAGAGCGCATGAATGTTCAAAAGACTATTCTCCAGGGAGTTTGGCCAGCTGCCCTAGGTTTACAAGGAGGCCCTTTTAGAAAGCCTCTGCAAAAATGTATCAAAGGTGTTGTGGTGGATGGTTAGCTATCTTTTATCTACATGCTTAGTTTCTGTTTATATAGTCACAACAACTTTCACTAAAATGTGTTATTCTCTATGATGAAAATGCTGTAGTGGCTTTTTAGTACATCAAGAACTGTGTTGCTTTTTCACAGGTTCCGTCGATGTTTGGTGTATTCATGCTAGGCGGGAACCTATCCATTACTATCGTCACAACCAAAAAATCCAGGCACTAGCCCTGTGCCCAGAAACAGCTGCTATAGCAACAGCATCTAGTTTTGAAGTAAAAGTGGAGAGTCCTGATGATCGAGGGTACTGGCGAAGTAGCTGCATTTTTCATACTCAAAAACTGGTGAGTTTTGTTAACATCAAAGTCTTAAGCGCAAGTGTTTTTTTTTTTTTATAGGAATTCATGTAGAAGAAATAATTTAATATAAAATATTTTGTGTTTGCTAATGTTTTAAAAACAAATTTGTATGTTTAAGGTGTAATTATATATAGTAATGGGACAGCCATATTTGTTCATTGCATATTCAGGTTTTACCAACTGCTGTGTTGTACAGTGGTTCTACTTAAAGGAGAACTATGGGGTTAAGGCTTTTCCCCATAGTTCTCCTTAGGGTAACGGGAGGACACTAACTAGCGTCCTCCCGTCACCCTAAGCTCAGTATACTGCGCGCTACTGCTCGCGGTATACTGAGACGCTGAAGCGGATCCGACAATTATGTCTGGATCCGCCCAGCTGCATGAGTGACAGCTGGCTCTGTCTATCTGTCACGGCAGAGAGCTGTGACAGGATCGAGAGGTGAGCGAACGCCGGTATGTGTTCGCTCACTTCCCGATCTACTTAGCCGACCTGTGACAGTCTCATTGTCACAGGTCGGCTAGAACTATGAGGTGAGTGAAAAGCACCCATTCACACTTGCGATTGGGGCCGATTGGGACGAATTGCTCTGTGAGACTTGTGCGAACAACTGCGGATAGAAAGCAATGACTGTTGACAGCAGCCGCACGTATTAATGTATTCGGACATACTGCGGATGATTGTCCCTGGACGCAAACAGTTTGCTTTCATGGGCAGTCGTTTGTAGGTAATCGCAGCATGCTTGTTTACATGCGTACAGCTGCAGGAGCTGTCAGCTGTCATTGCTTTGTTTGCATAAATTATTCTTAGAGACTCACCAAATTGGCCCCCATTGCAAGTGTGAATGTAGCCTTTAGCAACCATACACTGTTCTATTTTTTACATTCAGCCTGCGGGCTGGACAAAAAAATAGAACAGACTCCTCCATCAATGCTATATGAGGTTTGATTGAGGAATCTCCGCTATTTCTTTTGTATTCTGACAGCGGCCACTGTCAGAATACCCACACAGCTCATTGGCTGCCGGCTGTGTTCATTCAAAGATTTCCGACCGCCTCCTTCAGTCAACCGATAGAGGGATGCCAGCCAAAAGTGTGAATTTCAGCCTATTCATTAAGAACTAGTCGAAATTTGCATAATGTATGACCAGCCTTACTGCTTCTGCTCACAATGCAAGTCTGTGTGTTGCCCAGCTTAAAAAGATGCATTACATATGTGGTTGATATCTTATCTCAACAGCTGAAGGCAAAAGTTGCTTTCACACACAGAAATTAAGCTGTTTCCTCTTAAAGCTGAACTAACTCATGCAAATGTTGTTAAAAATGATGTGCAAATGTTTAAATTTTACATCTGTATACAAATAAGGGCTTGTGTCATTGGGCAAACGCAACATGATTTTAGGTGCATTCTTCTTTGACACTACAGAGATTATTACATTTTTCACCTTTTTTTTTTTTTTTTCCAACTGCAGATTTTAGAGTTTGTAAAATGCCCCCCAAACCATATATTTTCTCAAAGCGCAGGCCTGGTAGAATAAAAAAGATGGTGCTGCAATAATTGCACAAATGTTTGTCAAATCTATAATAAACCGATAAAAATACACCGTTAAATTGATAAAAGCACACTAAAATCAGTATCTGTGCATACAAAAAATACTTTTCTTACTAAATTTAAAAGATAAAATTGTATTGAGTTACAAACAAATATTTGTAAATTTAACGCCTTTTTGCGAAACTGTCAAAATATGAAGTAACACAAAATTGTAAATAAGCAACTTATGTTAAAAATCGTTTGTGTGTTGTGATAAAATGATACAGGCGTACATTTAATCACAACGCAGTGCATTACAATGCGTGGCAATCCGTCACAACGCTTTGCCATGCGCTACCACACAGTTAAATTGTTATTTTAAAAAGAAAAAATAATCAACCACTGCAACGCGTTCTAACAACGCAGTGCATGTGCTTGGCTTACACCACCATATGGTGGATATGTTGTCTGTGTGTGGGAAGGGGTTGGTGTTTTATTTTTCTATTATTATTTTTTACTGTTGCGGGGCGGCGCTAAAGAGACCCATGACCTTTAGCTTTTGAAATCCAAAATACTGCAGCCTCCGCTCTGAATGAATGGAAAGCACTCAGTACAAAGGCTTCCCATTCATTCACGAACGGGAGATAGATAGTAAAATATTTACTATCATCCAGTTATGAATGGGTAGCAGCCTCTGTACTGTGTGCTTCTGCCCATTCAGAAACTCATGAATGAACAGGAAGTGATGTAAAGCGCTTCCTGTTCATAAGTGGGGACTCCTAGTACTATTTGTCCCCAGTTATTTACAAACATTGGAGTGATCAGCGAATCTCTCTAGTGTTTGCTGTGCACACAGAGGATCGGTAAATATCACAGATCCTCCGCTCGGTCACGCACAGAGCCGCTGTCATCCTGAAGCTGACAGGATGATAGCGACTCCGCTCTTTTACCCACTCGCCGATCTCTCTCTTTCTCTCTCTCTCTCTTTCTTTCTCTCTCCAGCCGCTCGGCCATCCTGGCAAGCGGCTCCCTTAGCCTCACCCCCGCCAGCTTCAGTGGACATTTTCTCCTCTGATCCCCTCTGCCCATACAGACGGGGAAGAGCAGCAGTGATCAGGTAAGTAAAAAATTTTATCGTTTTTTAACTCGAGATGGCCTTTAAGCTGCTTTTACTTTCCCGTTGACTTGTTTGGGGAAAGAGCCTGTGCGAACAAAAACTCATTTATAAGCCTGCACTAGAAGCATTAGCTCAACAGATCTGCTGATTCAAAACTGGTTTATATTTGTGCAAACAGCACACCATTTTGGTTTGATTTATGTACTCCTCTCCATATTTTTTGCAGGTTAATTTCCTCCATTTGATTCATAGCTCCGAAGGATGTCCTGTTGCTGTTGCTGCTGCTGAAGAAATAGTATATCTCTTAAAACCAGAAGTCCCTGAAAAGATATTGCACTCTACATATGGCCACACAGTCACCAGCTTAGATGTTTCTCTTGATCAAGCAGCATTTGGAGTCAAAAGTTATGGCTGGTTCTCAAATAATGGCAATAAGGTAAAGAGGTTGCTGAGATGGCCCTAAAAAGCAGTGTAATGCCACTTTACTTGAATATTGTTAAAAATGTTAATTTTGTAATTCGAGGTAACATTTCAGATTTCATCTTTAGGTTTGTTGCAGAGTCTTTCATCCTTGGCCATGTGTGTACAGGGTGCTAGATATATTTAATGCTTCCCTTATTGTGGCACTGGGACTGATATTGTGGTTATAGAATTCCATTCCCTCCTGCTTAGCACTCAGTTTGAGAAAGTTACAGCAGTGGAAACAATTAGAAACTGCAATGTATACAACTAAGGTGAAAAGGATTTTTATTTCACAACAAAACTTCAAGTGAATTTTAACATTTGGTTTAAATTCAACAACTTTCCTTGGTTCTGTTAGTGGTTCTCTCAAATAACCACAGTTATGTATTACCCACATTTAGTAGTAGATAATAATGTTTTAGCACATTGAATGTTAAAGTTTTCACAGATGCACAGGCTATTGGGCAGACAAACACGTACACCTAAACTGCAAATTATTGGTTTGTGGATGTCATGCCCGCTGACTTTACAGGTCTTTGGCAATAAATGGCATGTTTGATGTGGTCATACAAACACTATATCCTTCAAATAAATGAAATGTTCATGGGAGCAGTCAAAGTTGGTAAAATTAAGTCTTCCCCATGAATGGTCATATCTACTTAAAGGAAACCTTTACTGGCTATGCTGACCTGCCTAAATGTTAGTAAATGTTAGCTACTTGACCGCCTTTAGCTTCAGTACAAAGAACTGACTTGGAACAAAGTTCAGTAAAGTTAGAACTCCTTATCTCCACAATGTTTCCAGTTCAGTGACTTAAAACACTGAAGCTTGACAGCCAGGCAACTAAAATGTTCAGATGTTGGGAATGGCGCAGTACAAGATTCCTTTAAGATTTTTCAGCCAACACCCAAAGTAATAAAGGAAATAAGTAAGATGGTGCTTCAGGACAGTTCTTTTTGCTATATACCAAAAAAAAAAAAAAAAGATATAAAATTCAGGCTATTTTTCATCCAAATTACATGATAAAATTGCATGGAATATATCAGATGTAAGCCTACACTATAGATTTATTATTGGATATGTGGTACGAACAATTACAACTTCCATCTTTATAAAATCAAACTCGGATATTATTATATAGCCCATATAACTTATAAATCAGGTAACATGCTGGAAGAGCTTTGTGGAAACAAGGGGTAACATTTGTCACATGTAACACAAAAAGTTATTGCTTGCAGGTTTTTATTGCTAATGTAATGTAAGAATCCAGCACCTGAAGTTCCAGTTAAAGACTTTACTAAAGTTCTGTATAAGACCAACGTAACATTTCGGGGCACAATGGTCCCCTTTAGCAAGATGACACCTTCATAAAGAGATCCACTATGCCCACAAAGTGTTTGTGGGTCTTATATGAAACTTTAGTAAAGCCTTCAATTGGAACTTGGTGTGCTGGCTTCTTTCTACATTGGATATTGCATGCCGAGCACCTCTTTACACATTTGCAAGGAGGTAAACGTGCATTATGGATTATTTACATTTAGGTTTTAATTGTTGTCTTTGTCCCCTTGAATAAAGAGATTCACCCTTTTTATTTGTATCGGTGACCCCTGTGATTATAAAAACACAAATTGTTTTGCTTTCATGAGAATTAGTATAAAGGGGGAAATCTTACAGTGGACACTTATTTTGGTGACAAATGTCTAAGAGGTCATTTTCCCCACTGTGGAAACATTTTCTCTTCCTGTTGTGTCTACAGGTGAGAAGTCTCCCCAATGCCACATAAATGGCAAAAAAACAAAACGGGTTATAACCATTCTGGACTCAATCCAAAACAGAAAACAAATAAGGGCTATATGTACACTTTAACTCCTGACTGATACAAATTTAGCTCTAACCATTGTCTCAGTGTGCAATCCATCATCCACTTTTCCAGGACCTGCAGTGTAGTGCAGGCCCTGCTATCCTCTGTTATCCCCTAGAGAGCCCTGGAAACCTAAAAACCCTGGGTACTGTAGTATGCAAATACCAACTTGAAGTCAATGCTTGGTCTAACTTTCCCACCCACCATCGCTGCCCATTAATGCGATAGGCTTCCTCCCAGACAAATAGGATGCCAAGGGAGCATATCAGAGCACTCTATGTTTTCCATCTTCTTGGGTGCTTAGGAAATAACAGGGTGAGGGTGCTTGAACTGACATATTAATGGCAATTTTATATAGGCTCTAGTTTCTATAATCAAAAGAAACAAAGCGCTAAAGGTAGCTGTATGAGCAAAAGAATAAGCTATAATTGATTCTGGCGAGGTCAGTATGGAAGCTAATATAAAAGTATAAAACAGGACTAGCCTCATAGACAAGTAGTTTCTATAGGTACTCTTTATAACAAAAGAGCCTATCCAAACGCAAACAATTTTAGTTCATTCTCATTTTAATAAACATCCTTGGCAATGAAAAGAGTGTGAATTAAGATTACAGCTTTATGAAGATCGTATATTTATTACCCTTCTGCTATTGTTTTCTTTCATGTGTACAACCCTCTGCAGCTACCGGAATTTTTATATAGCCTTTGTTCTCATGTTAGCTAGAGGAGATAAAACCTGTTGTTAAGTGAAGTATTTTACAATAGCGGCAGTATTAAATAACACTGAATGGGTTAAGATAATCATTACCGTGTAAACGAATCATAGCCACAGAAATGAAGTAATCCAGATGGCTGCAGTGTGCTAGGTGCAGGGACTGGTGCTTGGCACTGCTTTCCCAGCTGACATCACCCTGCAAATCAATCAGGTTGCGCCTCTTAGGATAATTACTGCGTGCCCCCTGAAGAGAAAGGGAGCTTTGTGATTGGATGTCTCCCATATCCACACACATCTCGTGTTTTGGAAAAAAATTTGAAATAACTGGTGATGAATAATTTTACATCTCTGTTAAGTGTGTTAATCGATCATCATTTCATGTTGTCATCTTGATTTCTGATACTTTTATGGCTATTCTTAGTAATTTGTGTGAGATGGTTTTAGGGACATTCATTTGCACAATGAGCTTTATAAATGAGCTGCATTGCAGAATACAGTCCTTTTGTACATCTAATACACACATTAAATGCATAAAAGTGGATTTTTAAAGAGCATGGACAGCTAATGCCATCTAGGAAATATTGCATCTGTACTAACCTCCGGAAACAAACTTGCGCTACCTTAAATCTGAAACTTACTTAAAGGAGAACTATGAGGTGAGTGATTTTCACTCATCCTCATAGTTCAAGCCGACGGCAAGTGAGCGAACACATACAGTTAGAGATCACTTCTCGATCATCTCCCTGCAGAGAGCAGTGACTGTGAGTCACGGCTCCCCGCAGGGATCCCCCTCCCCGCTCCTATCCCCCAGCGCTGACTGGAGGAACGGACAGGGGAGGGGGAGGGTACAGCTGGCTCTGCCTCTAGATAGGCAGAGCCAGCTGTCACTCACCAAACTGGGTGGATCTCAACAGCATTGTCTGGATTCGGCTGCGGCGGTCTCAGTATACCGCGAGCTGTAGCTCGTGATACACTGAGCTTTAGATCATGGGAGGACGATAGTATATATCTTCCTGTGACCCTTAGGAGAACTAGGGGGAAAAATAATTACCCCATAGTTCTCTTTTAAAGGAGAACTATGGGGTTAGGGCTTTTCCCCATAGTTCTCCTTAGGGTAACGGGAGAACACAAACTAGTGTCCTTCCGTCACCCAAAAGCTCAGTATACCGCGAGCTATACCGTGAGCATACTGAGACGCCGCAGCCGAAACGGATACCGACAATTATGTCTGGATCCACCCAGCTGCGTAAGTGACAGCTGGCTCTGCCTATCTAGAGGCAGAGCCAGCTGTACCCACCCCCTCCCCCGTCCGTTCCGCCAGTCAGCGCTGGAGGATCAGACTGGAGGGGTGAATCCAGTCCCTCCCCTGTCACGGCTCTCTGCCGTCACAGGATCGAGAAGTGAGCTAGCACCGGTATGTGTTCGCTCACTTCCCGATCTACTGAGCCGACCTGTGACAGTTTCATTGTTAATAATAATTCTCCTTTAAGCTGTAGAAAGATTGAGTAGGCTTCTCTTTGCCTTTTATCCAGGACTGCTCCTTCTTATCACATAATCCTATACTGTGCAGATTCCATCTCTGATAAACTATAAGGCCAGTGCTGGAATTGTGAAACATACTTAACTATGTTTCTGTAGCTCATACTGACAATTATGGGGATTTATAGTGACGCTAAACTTAATGAATGCATTCAAGTACCTTAACTATTAACAAAAATGCAGCTTTTTCGTGTATCACTGGGCTGTAGATCCTCAAATCATCTCTGAATTCATACTGACACTGTTTTTTCTGGAGGGTGGCTACTTTTGTTCCCCATGGTCCCTGTGTGTGTTGTAAAGTAGCCACTGCTCCAAGCTCACGCCCATGATGAGCTACAATCTCAATATAAATTAGTTAACTAAACGTGAGATTGTAGTCCATCACGGGAGTGAGCTTGGAGCAGTGGCTACTTTACAACACACGCAGGGACCATGGGGAACAAAAGTCGTTATGTGGACCTATATGGGCTGCTCGACCACACTATGTATATGGCCTTCTCATCCCATGGTTGGAAGGCCACAAGCCTTAAAGGAGAACTATGAAGTGATTTCTAGCTCTAACTATCCTCCATTTTTGGAGCTGAACTGTGACAAAGAAGCTGTCACAGGTCGGCCCTATCGATTGGGAAGTGAGCGAACACATATCGTCGCTCGCTCACATTCTGATCGTCTCCCTGCAGTGAGTGGTGACTGTCAGTCACCGCTCCCCGCAGAGATTCCCCCCCCCTCCCCTCAACTCTCCGATCCTCCAGCACTGACTGGAGGAACGGACGGGGGAGGGGGTGGGTACAGCTGGCTCTGCCCCTAGATAGGCAGAGCCAGCTGTCACGCAGGGTTGATCTCGACGGTATTGTCCGGATCGGTCCTGGCTGCGGCGCTCTCAGTGCCCGCGATATGCTGAGCTTTGTGTCACTGGAGGAGGTTAATACATGTCATCCTGTGACTGTAAAGAGAACTATGGGGAGAAACATTTACCCCCGTAGTTCTTTTTTAAGGCCTCCCACCATCCTAAAACTGGCCTGTATAGAATAGCATTCTGGCCAGAGAGCTACGCGTGTTCACAGAAAACACTGTAGCTGTGCTAAACAGAAAAATTCTGATGATCTGAGTTCCCTGTAACCCACCACAGCCAAAGCCCAGATAGCTGCTTGCATGGAGGATGGGTAGGCCTACTTACTAATTCTGTATTGCGTAACTTCTCTCTTGCTGCATCACTAGTCAAATGATGAAGAAACACCCCACTTAGTACTGACACTTTCATATGTTATATGTTCTGTGTGTTTGAAAACAGCAAGGAACCTACAGTGAGTATGTTGTGGAAATGCCTCTCCTGCATTACAAACAGGCCAATATAAAAATGTTCCATGGTATCTAGATTATAGACAAAGGGGAGAGGGGTAAATTGGTGTAAAACACACATGCTTGGATACAAAAAAGCTGTAGCCATAGGAAAATAGAATGTGCTCCCTGTTTGTACTTTAACATTTGATTTTCAGTTTTGATTGGAGTGTGCCCGCTTATTGCCACCACATGTGCCCCAGTATGTGGTTCAGATAATGTGCGGAGGGAATTTTGTTCCTTCCTGCCTGTTCCCCCATGCTTGTACAATAGCACTTTCATCTCCACATGAGTCATGCTTGGATTGTTTATTCAGAGGAAGAATCTTTCAGTTAAACTGAAAATGGTGGAACCACCAAAGATTCTTGCTGTAAAAACGAATCCTTCATAGGATGGCGAGTGGGCAGTGGCAATCACTCCATTTACTACAAAGAATCTGTGTAAATTCACTTATTGGGGAGCTGGAAGCTACACAGTATTTCCTTTATTAAAAAGTAATAATGGTGCGTGGGGATGGACAAAGATTGATGGCTTGAATGGATTACCCTTTCATGTGCATACAATCATTTGGTGAATAAGGAAAGCTAGAACCTGACATACTTTTCATCGATAATTATGGTACATTTTTGTGTTTTTTAAGATTCTTCTGTGTTATACATGTTGTGGGTTTTATGGTACCTAGCATGGGGCACTAGCATCTTCAGATGACTGATGTCAGTTGGTATGTGTATATTTTCATCTGCTCTGGCTAGTCACCTTGTTCTGTCCATCACCTTGATAAATCTATTATGCCACTTGCAGAAAACAAAATAGTGACTTTAGTGTTTAGTGCATGTCCTCATTAGAGAAACAGGAAGGCCTTATTCAAATAGGCTTCAATGTGTATTAGATGTATACAGCATTTTTTGGCAATCTTTTAAGTTTTGAGCAACTTTGTTAAAGCCTTTAAAACCGCATTCACCTCCAGTTTTGGGAGGTTGTCTGAACTCAGGGAAGGACAGTATTGTCCGCTATATACTGAGCTTTGGGTCATGGGAGGATGTTAGTATATGTCCTCCCGTGACCCTAAAGAGAACTATGGGATAAAAAGGTTACAACAAGCTTTAAAAGAGAACTATGGGGTAACCTTTTTAAATCTTAAAAATATCTTATTTGTGTATCACTCGGCTGTAGATCCTCAAATCATCTCTGAATTGGTGCCGACACTGTCCTTCTGGAGGGTGCCTATTTTTGTTCCCCACTGTTCCTGTGTGTGTTGTAAAGCAGCCCCCCTCCAGAAGGAAGGACAGTGTCAGCACCAATTCAGAGATGATTTGAGGATCTACAGCTGAGCGATGCACAAATAGGATGCATTTTTGTTAATAGTTAAGGTACATGGATGCATTTTTAAGATTTAACTCCTGAGTTTAGTGTCACTTAAATGGTGTGTAGAATTTTTGGGTGTTGGTATAACAGACTGCTCATAGCAAAGTTTGCCCTCCACCTACTAAGCTACCTTGGCTAAAGACATGATAAGCTGAAGTAAGAGGAGAGATTTCTTTTTTTTTTAGATTTCTACGCTTTAAGCAATGAAAATCTGACGGGTGCCTTACCTCATTCATCCAACACTAAGTTTTGGTTGGGGTTCCACGTGGGATGCTGTTTTTGTTTCTCATTTCGTTAGGAGTGAACATGTAATGAAATGTAAAAAAATAAATTTCACTGGATTTTTCACTAAAATTAAAACGGGCAAAAAAAAAAATCTTGCCCACTATTACCCAGAGCAGTAAAAAAGGTTATACTCGGTCCATGTGATGCACACACTAAACAAGAACAGGTAGGTCACTCATTTTCCTCAGTGAAAGAAGTGTCTACCCTTAGACTACATTCACCACAAAGTCCCAGCAGGTTTTACTTTACCATGTCAGATCTAACTTGCATTGTTCCTGCTTTCATAAAATGTACCAAATGTATATCCAAACCTTTGCAAAGAAGTACAGGTAAGCGTAGATCCAGTTTTTGTTTTTATTAGAAGGTTATTATGTATCCTGACATTATGCTTGTTCAATAATGTTTATTGCTCTCATGGGACCTATTGTTGTGCACATAGACATGCTCTAAGTGCGGCAGATTAGAAAAGTTTATGAATGCCCGCTTCTCATCACCTTTGGGATGGCATAAGACGTCAATCCTGTGATTGTTAGCAGACCCGATATTTTATATCTGCTTCAAAACTGGCCTCATAGCCACCTTGGCTCGATATCAAAGATGACATCAGATTGTAGCAATCTGCTTTTTAAATTAAACATCTATTATTCATGTATCATAAACTTTTTTTGTTGCATCTCTAGGTACTGTTAATTATACAGAGTAAAATCAGTCTGTCTTACTAAGCAGCTTTGATGGTAAAGTGCTTTGGATACTCAGTCATTGGCATTTATTACCAATTTTTAAATCTTGTTTTTGTCACGCTTGTATTGAAAGTTGTTGCTTGATTTATTTATTGTGTTTTGTTCATACACAGATTCATGTATACAACCTGCAGACTGGTCAGTGCCTCACAAACTTGGGTAACTCTGCCGGAGACTTTTCCTGTATTAATTTAAAAGATAGCCCCCCTAATCTTCTGGTAACTGGAAACCGAGATCGGAGGTAGGCTACACTTTATTGTTAAATTAATTCTTAAATAGTTGTAGAAAGAACTTCTCTGCAAAGGAGTTAATTTACATTCATCACTGATTTATGGCATTCATAATTCCTGGCTCAAATAAGATCACTTATGGAATGCAGCATGCAGAGATATATTTTACTGTTTTTTTTGTTTTGTTTTGTTTTTTTAAACTGTTCCTTTTTATGTTCAAGTTCATTTTTCCTTTTTTTTTTGTCCAATAAATAGGACATATTGCTTATGCATATTTCATATATATTATTTTTAGGCAGCAGCCTTTGAACATGTTTACCGCCTTAACTGTGTTAAAAAGAGCCTGTTGATTACAGAATTGAATGGCTGAAGCTCAGATTACACACCCAGCTGAACAGGTCAGAGGAGTGACTCAGCCTGCTATATTCAGACAGGGAAATTCATTATTTACTATATACTTTGTTTAGAAAACCCAGAATACTGTGCATACCTATTGACGTTGCCTATACTAAATGTTTATCTGATAATTAAAAATGTAATTACAATTGTCCCAAACCCATTAGGGCTTTCCTTCAGGCCTTGTTCACACCGAAAGCGTGTGCGTTCCAGAGCGGTAGCTGCTGGAACGCACCGCGATCGCTGTTAAACTTCCCCCCCGCGTTTTGGGGCAGGAGGGGGCGAGGCAGAG